TGCATATGAGGTTATTGAAAATATCATGACTTGGGGTCAGGGGCACCTTAGCCCTCAAACTGACATATTTGCTCTTCAACACTTTAGAAAGGTCTTGTGCAGCAAATCTACCTAATGCATCATGTCCTTTGATTTCCTGCCTGCTGCTTCCAGAAGTGTTCATGATTGATCAGAGCAAAATGAAGTCATTGACAACTTCAATCTTTTCTCCATGTATCATGATGTTGTTTATTGGTCTAGTGGCGAGGATTTTTGTTTCCTTTACATTGAGGTGAAACCCATGCAGAAGGCTGTAATCTTTGATCTTCATCAGTAAATATATTAAGTCGTCTTCATTTTCAGCAAGCAACATTGTATCATTTGCATAAAGCAAGCTGTCAATGAGTCTTCCTCCAGTTCTGATGCCACATTTTTCTTAATACAATTCAGCTTCTCGAATTACTTGTTCAGCATACACAGTGAATAAGTATGATGAAAGAATACAACCCTGGCGCACACAGTTCCTAATTTTAAACCATTCAATGATCCCTTGTTCTATTCAAACAACTGCCTTTTGGTCTCTGGATAGGTTCCTCAAGATCAACTAAGTGTCCCAGAATACTCATTCTCTGCAGTGTTGTCCATAGCTGGTCACGATCCACACAACTGAAAGCTTTTGTATAGTCAATAAAGCAATAGTAAACATCTTTCTGATATTCTAGGCTTTCAGCCAAAATTCATCTGATGTCAGCAGTGATATCCCTCCTTCCACATCCTCTTCTGAATCCAGCTTGAACCTCTGGCAGTTCTCTTGTCAATGTACTGTTGCAGCCATTTTTTGAATTATCTTTAGCAAAATTTTACTTACATGTCATGTTAACAATAGTGTCTAATGATTTCCACATTCCATTGGGTTATTGCTCTTTGGAATGGGCACAAATATGGATCTCTTCCAATCAGTTAGCCAGGTAGCTGTCTTCCAAATTTCTTGGCATAGATGAGTGAGTGACTCCAGTGCTGCATCAGTTTGTTGAAATATTTCAATTTGTATTCCATCAATTCCCAGAGCCTTGTTCTTAGCCAATGCCTTCAGTGCACCTTGGACTCCTTCCTTCAGTATCATTGGCTTTTTCTTTTTTTTTTTTCCCATAGTTCTAAAGTTCATTTTGAGTGAGTATTCTCAGAATTGTTTTGGACCTGGATTCTTAAGCAGCAAGTAACTAAGAAGTATTCATGAAGTAATATTTTCAGTGGAGTTAAAGGCACACTGCCTTTCTCAGTCCATGGGCCTAGTCTTCAGCTGATCGATCTCTCAATGCCATCAGCTCTGCTACTGTTTCTGCTGTCACCGATTTTCTGGGTAAGATCTCATGATCCACTCATGCTCTTCCTTCTTGACGGTCATGGGGCCCTTTGTTCCTGAAATGAAATATTAAATACTCACCCACCCACCCCCCCGCGGCCCCTTTTAGTTACACATCTTCTACAATTAGCATTGTGGCAATCGTGATTAATCTTGGTAACAATTATTCACAATTGAATCATAAAATCCTAGCACCATTATCACCAATCCTCTTTCACCAGATACATCTGGAAAAAAGGAAAACTATTTAGTGGAGATTCTATCTTGCCACTCTGTTCTGAAAAGATAAGTCCAGTCATGAAAGCTTGTAAATCAGCCACTCTGTGCCACTATTTTTTGATAGTCAATGTCAAAGTTGCCCATCTCTATCAACCCAGTACACTTAAGAAATAAACTTGATCCTTGATATGAAGAATCCTACTTCAGTTGGAATTTTGAGCAGCTGCATCCATAAGCAAAGGTCCAGTTCATCAAACTATAGCAATTTATACTATCTCACAGTACCAAACTTCCTTATGTTCATCCTGTTGAGTATGGTCAGCAAGCCATCCAAGCAAGGTCAAATGGATACTATCTGCAAGTTTGGGAGTTCCTGCACACCTCCCCCCATATTTCCAAACAGCTGGCCACTTCACTCTCACTTCTAGTTCCCAGTGGCCAGGTCAGTGTCCATGGACTTGAGAGTGTATCATTGGCTCTTGATCATATGCTACATCTTGAAATGGTACAATGTCTCTGTGTATTCCTTCCATCTGCTTTCGATGCTTTCTGTATCATTCAATATTTTGCCCAGAGAATCCTCCAATATTTGAGGTTGAGGTTGAATGTTTTCTTCAGTTTTCTCAGCTTGAGAAATGCTGAATGTGTTCTTTCCTTTTGGTTTTCTAACTCCAGATGTTTGCACATTTCATTATAATATTTGACGATATTCTTGAGCTGCCCTTTGGATTTTTCTATTCAGTTCTTTTACCTCCAAAATTTCTTTCATTTGCTTTAGCATCTCTATGCTGGATTACAAGTTTCAGAGTCTCTTCTGACATCCATTTTGGTCTTTTCCTTTTTTCTTGTCTGTTTAATGATCTTTTGCTTTCTTCTTACATGATGTTCTTGATGTCATCCCACAACTCTTACGGTCATTGATCATTAGTGTCTAATGCAACACATATGTTCTTGAGATGATCTCTAAATTCAGGTGGGGTATGCACAAAGTCATATTTTAGCTCTTGTGGCTCTTAACTTTTCTTTAGCTTCAGTCTGAACTTGTATGAGAGCAACTGATGGTCTGTTTCACAGTCTGCCCCTGTCCTTTTTTTTGGCTGATGATATGGAGCTTTGCCCTAGCCTTTCCACAGATGGAATCAATTTGATTTCTATGTATTCCATCTGATGAGGTTCACATGTTTTATGCTGTTTAAAAAAGGTATTGCAATGAAGAAACCATTAGTCTTGCAAAACTCTTATCATGGGATCTCCAGCATCGCTTTTATCACTAACCACTGTTTTTCCATCCTTTACAGTCAAATTGCCAGTAATTATCAATACATATTGATTGCACGTTTGATTAATTTCAGACTCAAGAAGTTGGAAGAACTCTTCAATTTCATCATCACTGGCTTTAATGGTTGGGACATAATTTGGAATAATAATTATATTAACTGGTCTTCCTTGTAGGCATAATGATATTATTCTATCACAGATAATGCTGTACTTCAAGATAGATCTTAATATGTTCTTTTAGATGATGAATGCACTCCCATTCCTCTTCAATTTGTCATTCCCAGCACAGTAAACCAAGTGATTGTCAGATTCACAATGTGTAATAATAGTCCATTTCAGCTCACTAATGCCTTGGATATCAATGTTTATGCAATCCATTTCATTTTGACAACTTCCAATTTTCCTAGATTCATACTTCATACATTCCATGTTCCAATTATTAATGGATGTTTACAGCTGGTGCTCCTCATTTTGAATTGTGCCCCATCAATAAATGAAGGATTTACTTCATTTACTTTATCATGATAAACTCTACTTTGAGGAGGCAGCTCTTCCCCCGTCATATTTTGAGTGACTTCCAATCTGAGGGGCTCATCTTCCAGCACTATATCTGACAATATTCTGGTGCTGACAGTGTTCCACTGCTATTCATAAGGTTTTCAGTGACTAAATATTTAGAAGTAGACTGTCTCTCCTTCCTAGTCTGTTTTAGTCAGGAAGCTGAAACCTGTCCACTCTGGGTGACGGGTAGCATAGTTTTCCAGCAACATGGAAGCCACCACAGTGGTATGATAAACTGATAGATGAGTGGTGGAAACTGCATATATTAACATTGAATCATTTAAAATTTTAGTGAATATTAAATATTTAAAAGTATTATAATTTCAAGTAGAAAAAGCAATCGACATTCAAATTAAACAAAAACAAAAGGGATCAAATCCTCTTGGCCCACCCTGATGCGCAGATGTCCCAGGTTTATGGAGCACCACACCTACTGAGATTATCTGTAAGGATTGGAGTAACGTTGACCTATACATCACTAGATGAGAAAAGTCTTGCTTTATTGTTAGGCTATTTGCATGATTTTCTGAAATATCTGGCAAAGAATTCTGCAGGCCTGTTCACTGCCAGCGATTACAAAGTGGCTTCCCTGAGTACCATCACAAAGCCCTGTGAGCTCTACTGACTGCTCACTTTTCTTTTTGTTCTTAGTCTTTTTCCTGTATAATTGATATTCTCTAAAATCGTTAATGTTATCACAGAGTTTACATTTAATTGTAAGACTAGTTTCTGTTTGTTTCAAACAGAAAATAAGAGTGTAAGCTCTCTTTTGCATTTCAAAGTTGCTACCAGTGTACGTAGTAACTAGACAAAGAAGAAACATTCAGTAGAATGCATTATTTGCCTAGTTGACAACATTGCTTGAATGCTGGTGGTTCTATCCCTTTGACAGTACACACTTTTCTAATGTGTTAATGCTATGCGACAAAATCCCTGATTCCTAGTGCCAATATACACACCTGAAAACCCACGCAGCATTTGTGCTCTGTGCGCTCTTTCTCTCTTTCTCTTTTTATGGTGAAGTAAAACAGCCCATCCTCTGCAAGTCATCTATATTATTTCTTAGGCATTCTATCTTTGCTCAAGTTGTTGAAGGATGATGGTTTGTTTCGTGGTTTTTGTATCTGAGTCTAATACATATTCTAACATGATAAAGGCAATGCATTGTGTAGCCACGGTTTTCTGAAAAGTTGATATTTTAGGAACTGTATTTAAGATCTTAAATAAAATTTGTTTTTAAATTTCAAAGCAAAAACAAGAGGGATCTGGCGTCAAGAAGCCAGATGACTCATGTTTCCCTTGCCTACAATATGCAAACAGTTCTAGCAAAGAAAAGAGAGAGCCAAGCAATTAGGACATTAACATGTATTGCTCTAGTATTATCCAACTATCTTATCTCTTATTGTTATATTCAACATGTTGCATAAAATTAACAAGGCTATTAATCAGTCACATTTTCATTTCTATGATTACACATCATAAAAATTATTAAATGTCACAACCCACCTTTAGGATATTCAAATAGACTTACAGAACTAGAAGAATTCTGTTCTTACGTACAAAAGCCAATCTTAATCAAACTATGAGTTATCTTACTTACTTGCTTTCTTATGTAGCAACTTGTGAGTAGCCCAGCTTCCTTTAAAACATTCCTAAAATAACAAACACAAAAATAAGTTTCTTAATTAGAAACATTTTGCAATACTTTCTTAATAAGAAATAGCTATAACAAGCTTGATTTGCAAACACCAAAACCTGCAACTTCATTTACCACAATATCTAGAAATGCTTAAAATACGGCAACTGCTATATTCAAACTACTATATATTCAAAGTTATCAGTTTGAGGACTAACATGAGCCTGACCCAAGCTACAGTATTTTCTGTCACCTCATATGAATGTGAAAATTGGACATGAATAAAGCAGACCATAGGAAAAAATCAATGCATTTGAATTATGGTACTGGAGAATATTAAAAGTACCACTGATTTCAATGTTGTTATTGTTGTTGTTTTTAAATGCCCTCAAGTTGGTTCCTACCCACAGCGACCCTGTATAGGGTTTCCAAGGAGTGGCTGGTGAGCTTTAACTGCCAACCTTGCAGTTCACACCGACTTTGCAGTCCAGTGCATTAATCTGCAGCGCCACACCAGGGTTCCACTGACTGCCAAAAGAACAAAAAAATCCATCTGGAAGAACTATAGTCAGAATGTTCCTTAGAAGCCATGATGGTGAGACTTTTGTCTCATACTTCAGTCATGTTACCAGGAGGGGCCAGTCCCTGGAGAAGGACACTGAGCTTGTTAAAGTGGAGGTTCAGCAAAAAAGAGGAAAACCTGCAACGAGATGGAATGATACAGTGACAGGAGCAATGGACTGAAAACAACTGTGGGGATGGTACAGGACATGACTATGTTTCATTCTGTTGTGCTTAGGGTAGCTGTAAGTTGGAAGTTATTTGACAGCACATAATAACAACAAGTATTCAAACATTCACTTCAAAAAGCACTCTAACTCGACATCTAACTGTACTCATCAAGCCTCCAGCACTATGGGGAAGTAGGACAATCGGGCAGCCTATATGAACCCCATAGCAATGGACAGATCAAGGGGTTAGTCCAGTCTTCAGGGCCAACAACACAAGAGTATCTAAATCGACCAAAGCAAGCTTGGTATGTTGTGTCTTGTTACGTAAAGCTATTGCCAGAATCTTAGTAAATATGATGTCTTAAAAGTCTGTCCTCCTTGTATTAATAACATCATGGCAAGTTACACAATGACATTACTGCTCTTCCT